TCCTCCTCCTCCTCCTCCTCCCCATCCGCCTCCTCGTCCGCCTCCTCATCATCATGATCATCATCATCATCATCATCATCATCATCATCATCATCATCATCATCATCATCATCATCATCATCATCATCATCCTCATCATCATCATCATCATCATCATCATCATCATCATCATCATCATCATCAGCAGCAGCAGCATCATCAGCAGCAGCATCATCACCACCATCATATCATTATCATGATCATCATCAACATCATCATCACCACCACCATCAGGATCAGACTCCTAATCACAAACAGCAGCATCATCATCATCAGCAGCAGCCTCATCATCATCATGAGCATCGTCAGCAGCATCGTCATCATCAGCATAATCAGCATCACCACCATCCTCATCATCACCATCATCATCCTTGTCAGCATCATCATCATCACCATCACCATCACCATCATCATCATCATCATCATCAGCCGCAGCAGCAGCATCATCAACATCATCATCAGCATCGACATCGGCATCATCAGCTTGAACATAAAAGTTACTCCGACGGAAGGACCCACCTGAGAATAGTGTTAGCTTGCCCTTATTACCCTTTTCTTCCTCGCCCTGACGGGCACTCTCCTCTCGCCCGCCGTTCTGCCCTCACCTACCCCCCCCCCCTCCTCCTATGTCTCCTCCTTCTCCACTCCCTCCTCATCATCACCCTCTCCCTACCCCTTCCCCGTCATCGTCCCCCCCCCTGCTTCTTCTCCGCGCGCTCCTCCCCTCCCCCCTGGCCGGGGCAAGCAAATCGATGTTCCTCGGCGGATTACCAGCTCTGATTAGCAACATGAAGTGCGGGACACTTAGGGAGGGGGCTCCCACCTGAGACTTCCTCACAAGTCACTCACAGACGAAGTTCCCGCTTGATACTTCCTCCAAATTCAAGCCTGGGGAGCCCAAGCGAGTGACAGTTACAGGTTGCCGATGACCCGCTCGGATTACCGGCATGAAATGCGGGACCCATAATGAGAGGGATCCCGCCTGAGACTTCCTCACATTTCACTCACAGACAAGGCTCCCGCTTGATATTTCCTCCAAATTCAAGCCTGGGGAGCCCAAAAGTGGCGACAAATACAGGTTGCCGATGACCCCCTCGGATTACCGACATGAAGTGCGCGACGCGACCCATAGGAAGGGGGCTCCCGCCTGAGACTTCCTCACAATTCACTCACAGACGAGGCTCCCGCTTGATACTTCCTCCAAATTCAAGCCTGGGGAGCCCAAACGAGTGACAGATACAGGTTGCCGATGACCCGCTCGGATTACCAACATGAAATGCGGGACCCATAGGGAGGGGGCTCCCGCTTGAGACTTCCTCGCAAGTCACTCACAGCCGAGGCTCCCGCTTGATACTTTCTCCAAAGTCAGGCCTGCGGAGCCCAAGAATGGAGACTGTTATAGGTTTCCGATGACCCGCTCGGATTGCCAACATGAAATGCGGGACCCATAGGGAAGGGGTTCCCGCCTGAGACTTCCTCGCCATTCACTCACAAGCGAGGTTCCTGCTCGATACTTCCTCCACACTCAAGCCTGAGGAGCCCAAAAATGACGACAAATACAGGTTTCCGATGACCCGCTCGGATTACCAGCATGAAGTGCGGGACCCATAGGGAGGGGGCTCCCGCCTGAGACTTCCTCACAATTCACTCACAGACGAGTGAGTGATGACGAAGTGATGAGTGAGTGATGATGATGATGATGATGAGTGAGTGATGATGATAATGGCGTTTGAGTCAGTGAGTGAATAATCGAGTGATGGTGACGGTGATGATGATGATGATGATGATGATGAGTGATGATGATGAGTGATCGTCCGATGCTGATGATGGCGAGATGATGATGACGACGAAGTGATGAGTGAGCGTGTAGTGATGATGATGAAGATGATGCTGACGATCGTGCGATGCTGATGATGATGAGTGATCGCGCGATGCTGATGGTGATGCTGACGGTGATGATGATGAGTGGGGTGTGATGGTGATGGTGATGGTGATGATGATGATGAGGAGGAGGAAGCAAGGAGGAGGAGAGGAGAGGGAGGAGGAGGAGGAGAGATCCTGCGCGGAGGGTGCGCAGAGAAAAAAACCCACTTAGGATGTGGGGAATAATCAGGATCATCATCATCAGCAGAAGCATCACCATCGTCATCATCATCTAGAAACCTCCTAGATGGAGTCAGAGTCAGAGTCAGAGGCAGCATGCGCCGGAGCGCGCCCTGCGCGGGCTGTTGCGCGCGCGGTTCCCACTTTCTTGGTGATTCTCTCACGTCCCATTCTTGAAAGTTCCCACACCCAGGCTTCTCGATGATTCTCGCACGCGCCAGACAAGAAATAGCAGACAAGATCTAGTCAGTCCATCGTTTCAACGGCCTTCCAATAGATCTGCAACCGGAAGGGGCCCATCGCAACGCAACCTGCCCCCATCTGTGGTCACTGCATGACTGTAGCTTACGATATAAGTTGGTTTTCCTCTCGCTCTGCGAGTGCAGCCACGTAGGCAATCCCGATTTCGAGTATGCCTCCTCTGCCCGTTGAGTAGCTCTCGCAATCCAATCAACATATGATTCATGTTCCAGTCGCCGAGCGCCCACAATTTTCCGAAGCATCTTCCGCATTGTTGCGTTGAGCTTTTGCTCTCGCGCTGCAGCGAGCGTCCAGGCACCGCTCCCATACAGCACCGTAGAAGACACGACAGCGTCGAAAAGCCTCAATCTGGAATGTAAGAGATAATGCCGATTACACAATTCGGGTTTGAACTTTCCGAAAGCAGCCCACCCTCTCGAGATCCTGTGGTCGATTTCCACATCGTGGTACTCACTGAAAGTTAATTTCCTTCCCAGGTACTTCAAGCTGTCGTTGAACTCTAAGACTTCGACCCGCCCGTCTCCGACTTCAACGTCTTTCTGTCGCAGCACTCCCCGGCGGTCTGCCTCGTTAGACAGGATCTTCGTCTTGCCCATGTGTAGCTGCAAACCGGCACTGCGCGCCCTCTCGTTCAAGTCGGACAACATTCGTCGCACCTGCGCCCTGCTGGTTCCAAGCAAGAGAATGTCGTCTGCGAACCTCAAGTTGGTCAAATAATGTGAACCAAGTTTGAGTCCAAGCCTCTCTTGCCGCCATTTACTCTTGAGGTCCCGCGCGATTGTCTCCAGAACTGCGTTGAATATAGCTGATGACATTGGGTCGCCCTGCTTCGTGCCTCTCTCAAGCTTGAACACGTGGCTCTCCCGATCAGATACCACCTGGCCTGTTTGTCCTGCATACAGCCGGCGCAATACTTGCACGTATGTCTCCGGAACCCCTTGCTGGCGCAGAGAATGCCAGATAGCAGAATGGCTCACGGTGTCGAGTGCTTTTTCGAAGTCAACGGCAGCGACCCAAAGCTTCAAATTGTACTCCCTGGCCTTCTCGTGGACGAGCGTAAGGGTTACCAAATGATCATCGCACCCAAAGCCCTTGCGAAACCCAGCTTGGTCCACAGACTGCTTTGCTTCGAGAAATTTCGCGAGTCGCCCGTTCAGCACCATGGCGAAGAGCTCATACAATATGGGAAGAATGGAAATTGGACGGTA